TGGATGTAAATCTAAAGTGATGAGTACCATATCTCTTTTTTGGAGAGTTTTATTTTCACCATTTATGCAAAATTAATTTTTCAGACTAATTAACAAAAAACTAACCTGATTAAGATCTAAAGCTCCTATATAACTTTATGTTTTAATGCAAACATAAAATCTAAAGTCCTGATTCAGACGTACAAAAAGAAATCGTATGTTTTTCCCTTTATCCTAAGCTTAACTTTGTAAAAGAGTGATATGTAAAAAACGGTCTCTTACAAGAAACTCACAAAATGTTCACGATTATACACATGACTGAAGTCACATAAATGTTAACTTAGTAAATTTAAAAACACACCTAACAAATCTGTAAGTTTCACTTCCCTGGACATTCATAATTTCTGTAAAAACTACTCTGGTCTGTTGCTGTTCAAAATTGTCACTTGTTTCCCTATTTGTGAAATATGTTTATATTCATGCACTTTCAGAATCTTTTCTAGACGAATTTTGTAATTACAGAAGCGGCATTGCAAAACGGTTTTTTCTTTTAGTATGTGTCCGGACATTGTCTGAGCATTTTTCCCGGGGGCCGCAAACCGGAACAAACTTTTCTAACAGCCAATCAACGCTACATATGGTTACACCGACAATCCATCTATCTTTGATATAGTTATAATAATTAGAAAAGTTTTGTTTCAAGAATCTGCGCATTTGTCAGTTTACCGACTTTTGCATTGGTCTAATGTTTCCCCTCATGCATAATGGACTGTGTTGTATTTAAATCACCAATTCAAAGCACATAATCTGAAAAAGAAACAGCTAAAATTTCTTAATTAATGTTCAGTAAGGAATCAAGGCTCAAACATTAAGATATAAATTGTTCTACACCAAACTAGTCCAATCTTACTCCATCTTTTCAATTATAACCGACATAGTTAACAAACATTAAGAGTGCAACGAAATCTGCATTGGGCGCTAAATGAAAAAAAAACTAACAAGTTCAGGTTAAGTTTTTCTTTAATAAAACCTTTTGATATTTTCTTATTTTTCATGCCTGCTCATTTGAAATGTCTCACAGTCAGCCCCACACAAAGACTTTCTCTTGGGGGTAAAAATCAGAATTTTTCAGGTCTTTAACAAATCTGTAAGTTCCTTACATCATATTTCTGGTAAAACTACTCTGGTCTGTTGCTCTTCAATTGTCACTGTTTCCTATTTGTGAAATATGTTATATTCATGCACTTTCAATGATCTTTTCTAGAATGATTTGGTAATTACAAAAGCTGCAAGCAAACGGTTTTTTCTTTTAGTATGTGTCCGGACATGTTTCTGAGCATGGCCCGGCTGTACCGGAACTTTTTTCTACAGGAGCCAATCACGCTACATATGTCTGATGTCGTCACACCGACCAAATCCATCTATCTTTGAATTATTATAATGATTGGAAAAGTTTTGTTGAAGAATCTTGCGCATTTTTTGTCAGTTTACCAGACTTTGCATGGTCTAAATGTTTCCTCATGCATAATGGACTGTGTTGTATTTTTAAATCACCATCAAAGCACATATTCTGAAAAAAAAAAAAACAGCTAATTTCTATATGTTCAGTAAGGAATCCAAGGCTCAAACATTTAAGATAACAAATTGTCTACATCAAAACCTACATTGTATTCCAATCCCACTCCATCTTTTCAATATATCATGCCAACAATAAAAGTGCAAGAAGTGGTGTATGGCCAAGTGGTTTAAGCTTCAAATACTAAGTAATCTAATAATGATCACTAGCCGCAAGGGTTCAAACCCTGACAGGGGCAAAGTGGCTTGTTTCCTAAAATAAAATTCTGTAATAAACCAATAAAAGAGTGCAACGAAAAGTTGTCACTCTTGGCACAAAAGGTTGTAACGTCTGTCATAGCATAAACACAAAAACAATTCTTGGGCTAACATATAATTTTTATGTAAACATTGAAAACCCGACCTTTTAATTGATAGTACTTGCACAAATCAAAGTAAATTTTCAAGCTAGATTTTTTAAAGTGATTCATTCACAAGTTACATCAGCAAAGGACAGATAGATACAAACACATAGCGACAAATGACTTTTTGAAATCTATGGTAAAATGAAAACAAACCAGCAAGTTCAAGTAGTTTTTCTCTTAATAATCTTTTTGATATTTTCTTTATTTTTCATGGAATAAAGTCTAGATAGAGCCTGCTCATTTAAAATGTCTCACAGTCAGACATACAAAGACTTTCTCTTGGGGGTAAAAAATCAGAATTTTTCAGGCCTAACAAATCTGTAAGTTTCACTTCCTGACATCATATTTTCTGTGAAACTACTCTGGTCTGTTGCTGTTCAATTGTCACTGTTTCCTATTTGTGAATATGTTTATATTCATGCACTTTCAGATTATCTTTTCTAGACGATTTGTAATTACAGAAGCGGCACGTAAACAGTTTTTCTTTGGTATGTGTCCGAACATGTCTGAGCATGGCCCAGCTGCAACGGAACTTTTTTTTTACAGCCAATCACGCTACATATGTACACCGACAATCCATCTATCTTTGATATGGGTATAATAATTAAAAAAAGTTTTTGTTGAAGAATCTGTGTATTTGTCAGTTTACCAGACTTTGCATGGTCTACCATTTCCTTGTGGATAATGGACTGTGTTGTATTTAAATCAGCATCAAAACACATATCTGAAAAAGAAAACAGCTACTCAGAGTATATGTTCAGTAAAGAATCAAGGCTCAAACATTAAGATACAAATTGTCTGCACCAACTATATCAATCTCACTTCATCTTTTCAATATATCAGACAAAAATAAAAGTGCAAGAAGCGGTATGGCCAATCAGTTAACGCTTCAGACTAGTAATCTAATGATCCCTAGCCGCAAGGGTTCAAACCCTGACAAGGGTAAAGTCATTGTTTCCTTGAGCAAGAAACTTTACACTCATTGTTCAGTACTGGTTGGTTACAGGAAAAGATTCTAAAGTGCGTTTATAAGCTTATAGTTTCCAGCACAATCAAACTAAAATAAATTCTGTATAAACCAATAAGAGTGCAACGAAACAACGTGTCACTCTTGGCACAAAAAGTTTTTACATCTGTCATAAGAACACATAACAATTCTTTGGCTAACATATAATTTTTATGTAACATTGAACCTGACCTTTTATTACATGCTTTTCGGTGGTTTATAGAAATATATCAGTGATATAAAACTGGTAATTTCACTGTTTGAAACAGTGAAATTACCACTTTGATAATTTCACTGTTTTGAATTTAAGCCCCTTACGTTGTTTCGGTGAAATACCAGCGTGCACAGTACTGGGTACCAACTTAATGACGTGACGTTGTAAATGACGTCACGTCCTATTATTATTTGGCGCGCTTTTCATTCAGTATTAGGTATAATGTCTTTTTAAAACGTTTCAATGCATATAATAAAAAGAAAATTTGTTTAGTTTAATGTAAGATCGAAATATATTTCACCTTGTGAACACCAAAAGTTCATATTTCACTCGTGGCTGCGCCACTCGTGAAATATACCTTTTGCTGCTCACTCAGTGAAATATATTTCGATCTTACACTGAACTAAACAAATATCCTCTATTTAATTGATATAACATTTTCTAAAGTACTTGCACAAATCCAAGTAAACTTCAAGCTAGATTTTCTAAAGTGATTATTCACAAGTTACATCAGCAAAGGACAGATACACACACACAGAGCCAAGTGACTTTTTGAAATCTATGGTAAATGAAAACAAACCCTATGGTAAATGAAAACAAACCAACAAGTTTAGGTAGTTTTTCTTTAATAATTTTTTGATAATTCCTTATTTTTCATGGAATAAAGTCTAGAGCCTGCTCATTCAAATGTCTCACAGTCAGCCACACAAAGACTTTCTCTTGGGGGTAAAAATCAGAATTTTTCAGGTCTAACAAATCTGTAAGTTTCACTTCCTGACATCATATTTCTGTAAAACTACTCTGGTCTGTTGCTCTTCAATTGTCACTGTTTCCTATTTGTGAAATATGTTTATATTCATGCACTTTCAGATGATCTTTTCTAGATGATTTGTAATTACAGAAGCTGCAAGCAAACGGTTTTTCTTTAGTATGTGTCCGAACATGTCTGAGCATGGCCCGGCCACACTGGAACTTTTTTCTACAGCCAATCACGCTACATATGTACACCGACAATCCGTCTATCTTTGAAAGAGTATAATAATTAGAAAAGTTTTGTTGAAGAATCTGCGCATTTGTCAGTTTACCTGCAGACTTTGCATGGTCTAACGTTTCCTCATGGATAATGGACTGTGTTGTATTTAAATCACCATCAAAGTACATATCTGGAAAAAAAAAACAGCTTATTTCTATATGTTCCATAAAGAATCAAGGCTCAAACATTAAGATACAAATTGTCTACATCAACTATTCCAATCCCACTCCATCTTTTCAGTATATCATATCATACAATAATAAGGGTGCAAGTGGCGACATGGCCGAGTGGTTTAAACGCTTCAGACTAGTAATCTAATGATCGCTAGCTGCAAGGGTTCAAACCCTGACAGGGGCAAGTTGTTGTTTTCTTGCGCAAGAAACTTTACACTCATTGCTGAGTACCTGAGTTAGTTCCAGGAAAAGATACGAAAGTGTGTTTATAAGCTTATAGCTTCCTGCACAATCAAACTAAAATAAATTCTGTATAAACCAATAAGAGTGCAACGAAACAACATGTCACTCTTGGCACAAAAGGTTGTTACGTCTGTCATAATATGAACACATAACAATTCTTTGGCTAACATATAATTTTTATGTAACACTGTAGTCAACCTTTTTGTTGATATAACATTTTCTAAAGTACTGTTGCACAAATCAAAGTAAATTTCAAGCTAGATTTTCTAAAGTGATTATTCACAAGTTACATCAGCAAAGGACAGATAGATACACACACACAGAGCCAAGTGACTTTTTTGACATCTATGGTAAATGAAAACAAACCAACAAGTTCAGGTAGTTTTTCTATAATAATCTTTTGATATTTTCTTATTTTTCATGGGATAAAGTATAGAGCCTGCTCATTTAAATGTCTCACAGTCAGTCACACAAAGACTTTTTCTTGGGTATAAAAATCAGAATTTTTCAGGTCTAACAAATCTGTAAGTTTCACTTCCTGACATCATATTTCTGTAAAACTACTCTGGTCTGTTGCTGTGGAATTGTCACTGTTTCCTATTTGTGAAATATGTTTATATTCATGCACTTTCAGATTATCTTTTCTAGATGATTTGTAATTACAGAAGCGGCACGCAAATGGTTTTTCTTTAGTATGTGTCCGGACATGTCTGAGCATGGCCCGGCCGCACCGGAACACTTTTCTACAGCCAATCACGCTACATATGTACACCGACAATCCATCAATCTTTGAAATAGTATAATAATTAGAAAAGTTTTGTTGAAGAATCTGCGCATTTGTCAGTTTACCAGACTTTGCATGGTCTAACGTTTCCTCGTGGATTATAGATTGCATTGTATTTAAATCACCATCAAAGCACATATCTGAAAAAGATAACAGCTAATTTTTATGTGTTCAGTCAGAAATCAAGGCTCAAACATTAAGATACAAATTGTCTACACCAGCTATTCCAATCCCACTCCATCTTTTCAATATATCAGACAAAAATAAAAGTTTGAAGAAAGAAGGACTGAAACTCTTGGCACAAAAGATATCTATGTCTGTAACGGAGACACAATTCTTTGGCTAATGTATATGTAAAAATGAACTTGACCTTTTTATTGATATAACAGAGTTCATGCACAAATCAAACTTGGAAGTAAATTTTAAGATTATTTTTCAGAAGGGATTTATCAAGTTATATAAACAAAGGACAGATAGATACACACACACAGAGAGCCAAGTGACTTTTTTGACATCTATGGTAAATGAAAACAAACCAACAAGTTCAGGTAGTTTTTCTATAATAATCTTTTGATATTTTCTTATTTTTCATGGGATAAAGTATAGAGCCTGCTCATTTAAATGTCTCACAGTCACCCACACAAAGACTTTTTCTTGGGGCTAAAAATGTTTAAATCAGAATGTTTTCTTCATAAAATGAAACTGAGTGTTTAACAGTAAAAACTTCAAATGAGCTGCAAGGTTCATTTTTATCATTTTGATATTAAAACAGGTTTTCTTGCTAAAATAAGGAATAAAGTGCAGCGATATCAAAATATGCTTTGCCATATATATCCACGTTTTTATTTTAGATTTCTGCAGTTGTATCAAATAAACATTAAAAATTAGAAAAATGATCTTCATGCATGGTTCCCTCATGGTCCTCAACACAATTGTAACATATATATAATGGCATAGTATTAATGAGTCACATCAACCAATCGCAACTACTCCGTCCTTTCTGTCAGTATTCGGATAAGGACCTAGGACACAATAGTATGAATTAACACAGAACGGATACGGTATTTCGGTCTAACCTACGCTAAGAAACTAAACATGTAAACCAATGGTAATTTAATGCTGGGAGTTGATGACAAGTTTATTTCCAATATATATCAAGTAAATGCCCACCTAAAATAAGTGAATTCATAGATACAAATGCAAACAATACATTATTTATATATTTATTATTATGGTTGTAGAAACCGAAAGAGCAAAATGCCAACCTGTTGACATGCAGTCACATTTGTTTAAAATTGTACATCAGTGGGCATATTTAAATTAAAATTGGTTGTCATATATATTTTCAATCATAATTGTACCGAAACAGACTTAATTTTCTTTTGAATGTTAATTATATGAACATTCGTTTTACATCTCTCTCTTTAGTTTACATCTGAAACCACATGGTAGATCTACTTTCACTCCGTATTGTTTCCGAGGTTATTATAGATAATAGCCGAGGCAGTTCCGAATGTTACACCAACAAGAGAAGTTCTTGACAAACTTACGTTGTGCCTTCACGAGTGATAAAATGATAAAATTCTCTAATTGTCATCATGTAAATTGCCGTACTTGTATAATTATAAAAATAAACTGTAAAAAAAAGTTTTGTTTGCTAACTTCCATGACCAGATGTCATGTGATAATTACGCGTGATATATGAGTATTTAATATAAGCTGGTAAAGTTATCACCCTTTCCTTTTGTCACACGTTTTGTAACTCGCTTGTAAACATCAAAGGCTTAAACTGAGACCAGTCCATTAGTCAAAGTCCCGATGTGTCGATTTTTAACAAAAATCCTTTCAACTTGAGACTACTTACCAAAGTTCTACTGTACTTAACTAAATACTAAAGATCCTGTAACTACTGTCAAAACTGATCCAAAAACAATGCAGAAGATGGGCCTTACACAAGTACAGGTGAGTAATTCTCAGATCTCTCACTATGGATAATAGACTTAATCTGGATCTTAGCAACTGTGGGTTTTTCCATTATCTAATCCAAGGGTACAAATAATCTTTGCCAATATTGAAGGTTATAATAATTTATTGTTCTCAATAAAGCTGTCAATGCCATGCACTAAATTTTATTACTGATATATTTTAACTTTGTAAGTGTAAAAGTTACCAATCCACATTAATTTTGCAGAGTTGTGGTCAGGTGTATGAATTCCTATAGCCTGTAACAGAAGTGTACTGTAGGTATCATTATTAAATGTGTAACATTTCTATTATTGTTGGTCATGTCCAGCCAAGACATAAAGAGTTGTGCTTTTGTTTTGGACAACTGAATTTTTAATCACGAAAAGAATAATTGCTTTATAATATTTGGTCTAGAGTGGCTGGATTTTCGTTTGGGGCTGCTTCTTGGCTCAATTTTTGGTCTGACAGGACACTTAATTAAGAATAAAATATCACTTTTTGGTATTTCAAAAAAGTTATCTTTCCTTAATTTGAAGAATATCCATTAACAATAATAAGCTTTTAAGTTGTTATTATTTTCTATTTCAAGCTCAATAAGGATCTATTTTTAGCTCATAATGGTCTACTTTTAGTTCAATTGGGCCAGTCAAAAAACAACAATGCAAGAATATTGATATATGTGCATTTTTGCAAGATAATTTCCACAGCAGAAGTTTCAGTTGAAAACTGACTCTAAACATAAGTGATAAGACAAATTATGATCTTTTTCTTTCATTTATATAATTCATTCAAAGCAGTACCTACTGCATAACTGACATTTGGTTAGACAAATATAAGATCATTATCAAATCCAATGTTTAAAACATCATAAAGCCTATTTAATTACCTTTTTTTTCTGTCCAATTAAGTAGTCTCAGGCTTTGACATCTTCTAAATCTTCTAAGTAACTCTAAGAATTCAGAACCACTCAACTGTCTCAACTGTCTTAAAAATTATCAGTTTTTTCTCCGTAGTTTAAATTCCAAAACAACTTAAAATTGTGGCTGATACGCCATTCTTATGTTATTCAAAGAATTAACATAAAATTTATGCTATGTGTGTTAATATTTACTTACTGACGGTATTTGAAAAATTCATTCAAAATTACATCAAACATGTCCTAGACATAATAAGCTTTATAATACATACATTATTATACATGTAATGTTAGCGAAAATGCAAAATCTACAAAACAACAAACATAGCAGGTTAAGCCCAACCCCCTCTTAAAGTAGCTCAAACATAAGATACACATGCCTGCACAATTTTTCACTTGTTTTGTTTGTTTGTTAAGCACAGTGTAACAGCATATGACAGCAGGACAAGAGACAAGCTCAAATCTAAATACCCCCACCCGCTAAGTCAGGCATAAAAAAATCATGGGATTTTTTTTCAACTTGTGACGAAGAGAAAACATGAAATGTTAAACATGTAACAGTAAAAAACTGTTGCTCACAGAAGCTGAAACATTATCATGGGGCAGTTATTATTAACTTTTCCAGCATTCACACATGTTTAAACAGTTTATTTACCCTGTACTTTTTCATGCATTTTTTACAGGATCATTTACTGGTTGTAGGACTTACCTAATAGTGAAAGGTATTTAAAATTTTTTCCACATAAACATATCACAATATATTCATTTCTATGCTTGGCAATTCATATACCGTAATTAAATTAATAAATACACACTTCTTAATACATATACCAATCTAGAAGCCTAGTATTTCATTGACACTGTCAGGGCCTTCAGGGGAAACAGGTCTTCAGTCTATCCAACCGGAACATTGGTGTGGTGAAATTAGGTGAGAGCGAAAATAGTTCATTTAAACAGCAAAACTTACTACTGAGACAAAATAAATTTATAAAATTTCTGGAAATTTTTCTGAAAAATGAGTTTGCTTATACAGTAAAGAAGGGAATTACTACTCACGGAAATGAATTTCATCACAGAATCGCTCTAAAAATATGTTACAAAATTCTGTAAAAAATTGAAAAAGACAAACAAGAGCCATGTCAACATGCCATCCCCCCGCCGAAAATGTGTTTGCTCATTGGAAGAAAGTATGTGTTGTAGAGCGGAATAATTCCATTTTAAGAGGTCTTTTGGTAATGAAAACTGATGGCCTATAGTGATTTACAGATTTGAAACCTATGTGAATACTGATGGCTGAAAATAACAAAGGGCAATTACTGAAAAATAATGCAGGGTAGGTTATCATTCTTGTGTGCTGCATCCCTCCTCAGTAAAATCTATCCACCTATGAAGTTTAAAGTTGATACCTCAAATACTTTTGAGAAAAAAAATTGAATTGAAAAATTAAGTATGAAAAAGAACAAAGGGCAATAATCAAATTTATAAAAGGTAGAGTTATCATTCTTCCTGCAGTGCACACCTCCTGAGTGAGATCTATGCACCTATGAAGTTTCATTTTGATATCTCAAAGGCTTTTTTGAGTTATGCTCTGGACAAATATTAATTTTGAAAAATAACAAAAAGCAATAACTCAAAAATAATGCAGGGTAGAGTTATCATTCTTAAGCACTGCACTCCTCCTCAATGAGATCCATCCACCTTTGAAGTTTCAAGTTGATACCTCAAATACTTTTTCAGATAAGCTCTGGACAAAATAGCATGAAAAAAACAAAGGGCAATAACTCAAAAATTGTATAGGGAAGAGTTATCATTCTTGCACACAACATTCCTCCTCAATAAGATCTATCCACCTATGACATTTCATGTTGATATCTCAAACACTTTTTGAGTTATGCTCCACTCAGGTGAAAAATTAGGTATGAAAAATAACAAAGGTGGCAATAACTCAAAAATTATGAAAGGTAGAGTTATCATTCTTGTGCACTTACACCTCCTGAGTGAGATCTATGCACCTATGAAGTTTCATGTTAATATCTCATAGGCTTTTGGAGTTATGCTCTGGACAAAAATCAATTTTGAAAAATAAAAAAGGCAATAACTCAAAAATCATGCAAGGTAGAGTTATCATTCTTCCTGCACTGCACTCCTCCTCAATGAGGTCTATCCACCTATGAAGTTTCAAGTTGATAACTCAAATACTTTTAGAGATATGCTCCGGACAAAAATGTCGGACGGAAGGGACGGACAGACGGACATTCT